TTTTGTCCTCCTCAGCATTGCATTGAACAGTTATAAACATTTGCATATAGACATTTTATAATAACATTTGCATAGCCACCCATCTCACCAAAAGTGACTCTGGACCATATGTTTGAACATACAGCAATTTAAATGGATTAAAAATGACATTTTTGTTTCAGGAAGTTTTCAGTAATTATTTTTCATTATGCTGAGGTGTCTTATGGTGCGTCAGAGAAGAAGATTATCTCTGTGGCCCTGATGAAGTATCTCTCCCATGTTATCAGGCAGAATGATTAGATAGACCATGTTAGTAGAGTTGTATGAATGTAACCCCATTACTCTCTTTTCTGCTAAGGTGGTACATATAAATGTACCAACTCCTGGTTCTTCAGTAGAGGCTTCTGGAAGTCTACAGAGAGATATTTGTATGACATATCAAAACTTTACAAAACGTGAGACTGTGCTATGTGTAGAATTGGAAATGACCGACATTTGCTACTGTGCCATCTTCTGGCAATCTATAGTTAGTAAAGGCACATTAGTAAAGCGACATTAAAGTTGTCTTATAGTAAGAGAAAACCTTTCTAGGATGCCTAGTTAAGTGCAGAATGTCCTGAATTAAAGATATAGCAGTGTTAGTTTAACTAGTAGCTTCATTATCTCATTTTATTACAACTGATCCGTATTATACATCCTCAAAGCAGATTCTTCCTGGTTTGGGCTGCTCGTAATGTGTGTTTACCATAATTGTTCTTTAATGGCATTGGTTGGTATAGAATGATAGGTTTACTCTGCCAAGGGTACTGTCATAAACAGCTGAAAACTGAAGCTCTTTCTGGTTTGCTATTTCACTTAAATCAGCATAAAAGTAAGAAGAAGAATTGTCATCAGACAACAGTGCTACTTTTAATGAAAAGCTGACTAAAATATTGCATGTATAATAGGAGGCATGCAAAGAATCAATATATTTTCAGAGACACCTTCTCTGGCAATTAAAAACATATTAAAAACCCGCAAGAAATGAAAGATGCATAGGTACTTGGGAAATAACAGTTGCTATTGTGTTAAAAAAATATATGTGCAGGACATTATTTTTTTTTTAGAAAAACAACAAAAACAGTAATTGGAAAGCTAATGGAGACAAAGAAAAGTCAAGTGTCTGGGTGTTAATATCTCTTTTTAAAAATTGTACTTCTAATCTATAGGCTCTCTGTAAAATATTTTTACTGTGTTGCACCAAAAAATTGTAAAAGTTTATATTAAGTTTAATTAGATTTAAATGGAATTCATTATTTTTAATGGATTCCATTAGTGAGGTGAAGTCATTATTTGGGATGTACAATTGCAAGTAGCAAAACAAGCTAATTTTTGGCTTCTATTTAAAGATGGCTTACGCAGTAAAGGGGCTATTATTAAAAATGCTGTTAAAAAGATTTTTTTGTTAAAGGAAGGATAAGCACCAACATTTGAAATGTAGCCCTAAATAATATTTCCACTTTTTTATATGAAGCAAACTGTTTATTTTCTACAAAGGAAGGGGGGGAATTAAAAGGAGAAGGAAGGGGGAATAGCAAGAAGAAGAAGAAGAAGAAGAAGAAGAAGAAGAAGAAGAAGAAGAAGAAGAAGAAGAAGAAGAAGAAGAAGAAGAAGAAGAAGAAGAAGAAGAAGAAGAAGAAGAAGAAGAAGAAGAAGAAGAAGAAGAAGAAGAAGAAGAAGAAGAAGAAGAAGAAGAAGAAGAAGAAGAAGAAGAAGTAGTAGTTAGAGTTTGAATGAGGTCATTATCTTCCTCACCTTCTTTAGGTTTTGTTTTTTGTTTGGCTCCAATGTTAAGTGTTCTGCATCCCACATGATGGCTTTGCACAATTTTTTTAAAAAGTGTTTATTGTTATACTTTGACAGGACAAGCCCTCTTACCAGGTTACAAAGTAGAATACAGATCTTAAAATCTAACAGAAATACCGGTACATGAAAAAAGTGAATCTCAGGAGCTCTAAAATTGTGCATAGGTGACAGTTCAATGAAGTTCAGTTGTAGAAATTTACCCTTTTTTTTCTGAACTGGATGAGTCCATTATGCAAATTTCCACTGCAGTGACCATCAGTACTTTACCAAAAACTCTCACTAGATATTATGAAATCTAGGGACTATCTATCCATGTGAATGTATGTTAACCTGTGCGTTGCCTTTTATCTGTAGAAAGCAACTCTCTGTAGTAAGATTATCTTCTCCCTGAAAATTTCTCCATGCAATTAAGAATCATGATTTTCTAAGGCCTCAACAATGAAAAGAACCTCCGTAGATAGAAAAGGATTTCCACTGCAGATAGTTATTGCTTCCTATAGAGGGTGATATAATGGAGCAGGGATATTGAACCCTGAGGTGTAGATGGGTTATTCTCTGTCTTTCATAAGGTCTAACAAAGACTCTACAGATACTTACCATCATTCTTATACTACGTTGCCATGACTCTGTAAACAGTTTTCATAGTGTCTTGTTTCAGAGCTATGATTATTCTTGCATTTTGTTCCATATTTCCATATGCAAACTTTATTTTGCTTTTGATTGTACGAAGCATCAGGGAAAATAGTATCTGCATATTTTCTCTAAGTTTCTGCTTTTTTAAAGGACTAGTAATGTTACTTTTTTTTATTTAGATCGCATCCAAGATTCAGAAGGATGTGTAGATGCTGCAGATTTCATCGGTGGATTCTACAGAAAAACTTTCCATTTTCTCGTTGCCTTTTCTTCCCAATCACTGGTTCTTCTCTTCTTCTCTGGAGAACACACTGTTCTCTTCTAGTGTTGCTATTCCAACATCTTCCCAAACGCTGAATCATTATTTATTTATAATTTATTTTATTTAAGGGTTGAAAGGCTGAGGGCTGTGTTGGATAGAATTATTGTATAAACTGAGAGAGCCAACTAGATTTATCTTTTGTTTCCTGACCTTGGTGGGAGGTTTAGCTTAAAGTTTCCGTGCTTTAACTATTTTTTAAATATTGCATTTTCCAGTGCACCTTTTGTACCTTCCATTGTCAAAATGGGAAATTTCACCACCAAATTTGGGCATATTTATTGCTGAAAATTAGTCATTGAATTGAGAGGTCTACAAAAAAAAAAGTTGAGGGGCTACTACTACATTCAAGTCGGAAGCATCTTGATGAGGTGCTTCTGGGTTGAAAGCATTAGCTGATGACATTGCCCGCGGAATGCCTGGTTGGAGGCTTCTTTCATGTCCCTGTAAATTTTCCCACTGAAGTGGTACCTATCTTATCTATTTATCTACTCATGGATGCACACTTTCAAACAGCTAGGTTGGCAGGACCTGGAGCAAGTGATGGGAGCTCACCCCGTCATGCAGTAGAACTTGGGTCTTGAACGCAGGCTTGCTAATTGTTAGTCCAGCGGTCTAATCATGTGAGCCGAAGAATGGCTGTTGTTGTCCTACAATGAATGAATTATAAAATATAGATTCCATCCATGGTTGTAGTAATCTTTCTGGAAGTCTGAAATAGGTCCTAGTTTGGAAAGGATATTTTTAACAGTAGTCTGAATTCTGAGTTTGGGTCTGGTCATATGCTATCTGCGTTGAAGGAAGGATTCTATAGCCTTTTGCCTATATAACCAAACAGAGACTCAAAATTATGTTTCTTCCCCGCAAGTCTCATGGAGAAGGTTGATGAACATGGTGGCTTGTAGTAGGAGAAAAAAATAGTGTTATTTCTGCGGTATTTGTCAATAGTTTTGAGTAGGCATAATCTCGGTTCCAGTTGATAGTGACAGCAGTACTAAAAGGAGCTGAAATAAATACAGATTTTTTTTTCTTTGTACCATATTGGGATCCTTCAGTCCTTTATACTTTTTATATAAAAATTCAGTTGTTGAAAAGTACATTTTTTTAAAAAAACATGATTTGAAAAGATATAAGTAACATAATTAAATATTCATATTAATTTTTAAAAATCAACTGCCCAGCCAAATGCAGATTAAAAATGACTGGAAACAGAACTCATAAAATATCTGTTATGGAAGGTTTTTGTTTTTTTTTAACAAAAAGTAGAATGGCAATTGAGCTTGGATACAGAGAATGGATAATCAGTATCCCACAAGCTAGAAAACATGCTCTGCTTCTTCCACTAATGGCATATGATTTTTTTTCCTTTCTAGGCAAAGATATTTGGAGCATGAGACACTTAGAAAAAAAGAATTAATTTGAAATCTGTAGTGGAAGATCAGTTTCAATTAAAACTACATTTGAGCTTTCATGGGCAAGGAGCTAGTCAGCTCTAAACACCATGGTGGTATGCAGTGAATAAAAAGATTCTTTTACAAATTACTACCTTGTTTAGAGATTTCATAGAATATTAAATTATCCCAGCTAATAAATATTTGCTCCTTCACATATGTGTTAGGTATAAACTAATACCTCCCCATAGTTTGAAATTGTACGCTAATTTTGCTGTTACTCTTTTTCACTTGGAAGATATTTCGCATTGTATTCTGAATAATATGCACAATAGTTATATACTGTAAAAAGGGATGGGGGAATTGTCCTAGCAGTAAAAAAGCAATAAAAAAAGAAGAGGTGCATTCTTTACAAATATTATGATGATTTATGCCAAGAATGCAGTTCAAATCAAAGTCGCCATTTCATAATTCAGGTTGTTCTCCCCATTGGTTGAATCATTGCTACAAATATTATAGTTCATAAAAAAAAACTGTACAAGCCAATTGTACAAGTCCAGTCTGGTCTAGTGGTTAAGGCGCCAGAGTAGAAACCAGGAGACCGTGAGTTCTAGTCCCACCTTAGCAATGAAAACCAGCTGGATGATCTTGGTCCAATCACTCTTACTCTCAGCCCAACTCATTTTACAGGGAAGTTGTTGTATAGGGAATAGAAGGAAAGAGTAGTAATAGATATGTTTGCCACTTTAAATTGTTTGTAAAAAAAATAATAATTATGGTAGGATATAAATAAAATAATAATAAATGAATTATTTTTATCTCTTTGGAACCAGGGGCATATGGTCCTGAGCACTGGGTTACTTCCAATGCGGATTGTGGGAGAACTCACCAGTCTCCAATCGATATCATCGATCACCAGGCACACGTTGGGGCAGAATATCAGGAAATACGCCTGGTTGGCTTCGATAATGAATCTTCTAACAAGACGTGGATGAAAAATACTGGGAAAACTGGTAAGGGTTGCTCTGTTTGACTGTTCATTTGCCGGGCTTGCTTACTTTCCATTTGTCATTACTTCTAGCCTGCTTCTGGCAGCCACTGACACAATGAAAAATGTTCAAGGAAAGTTTGGAAGGTGATGGTAGTAAATCCTGAGCATCATCCCCCTGCTATACACTATACTCGTGCATTGGATTCAGTTTCTGTAGATAATACTGAAATTCCTTCCATAGATGAGTTTCCCTATGCAGTGGATGCTTAAATGAGCTTTATGTAGATCATGTTTTAGAAAGGTTTGATGACCAACTGCACTAGGGAAGGCAGCTTTATCACTGAACAAGATGGTGTCCCTTTTGCACCTGTATTTTATCTTTTGTTCCATATAGTATTAACTTTGTGAACTCTAAAGCTTCCTCCTTCCGTTATGTATTCAAGATGGACAGTGATTAATATTTATATGTTACTTATATGTAAGGGTGTAGGTCTATACATATGTTGTATATAGTATGTTTAAATGTGTGTTATGTATGTGTATACTTTGAGAGCAAGCAACTAAATTTCATTTTTAATGTGTGCTGTTGTGTCCACAGTAAAAAATGACAATAAATGTTATCTATCTATCTACCTACCTACCTACCTACCTACCTACCTACCTACCTACCTACCTACCTACCTCTTCTGTTGTACTTTAAGGTATCATGGCTTGTCCAACTGGCTGGGTGGTTGCTCTATATTGCCATCTAGAGGCTAAAACAAATTCTGCTGGAGCAAAGTTTCTTACACTTTTTGATCTTGGGACCCTTTCTATTTAAAAAAAAGATACGAAGGATCCCAAAACAGCTTTTCTTTGTACGGGCTATATTTATTTACCTTATTAGAAATGAAAACCGATACATTATTTATTTATTGACTTACGTGAAAATAACAATGTTATACCCATTAGGTATACTGTAGATACAAATAAAATACTTTTCATGAAGACAATTTAATTTTTTTAGCAAATAAAAATTATAATGAGAAGAGTGACATTGTTTTACACTTTTTCCAATATCTTCAATAGCTAGCCAATCATTTTGATTTCGCTAATCTCTGAGAGGCGGACCTTGAGGGGAGTTGCAACAGTTCTCAGAGCGCATTTTTTTAAAAAAAAAAACAAACAAAACAAAACACTGTGCTAGAGCAATACGAGCACCAATCCAAGGAAGGATACTTTCCCTTGATAGTAGAAATTTTAAAAGGCTCCAGAGGCTCTAGGAGAGCAGGGCCCTCTTGCATGACTTCCAGAGGGTCCGGAGGAGAGAAAGTCTGGAGAGAAAGTGCCATGGGACTGTGTGTGTGTGTGTGTGTGTGTGTGTGTGTGTGTGAGAGAGAGAGAGAGAGAGAGAGAGAGAGAGAGAGAGAGAGAGAGAGAGAGAGAGAGGGAGAGGGATGCCAGCAGAGTCAAGGAAGGCATGTTCTGAATTCTTGACATGACAAGCCCAAACGATTCATCATCACTGGCCTAGAATCTCCCAGGACATATCTAGTAGGTTAGAACAGAGGTCCCCAACCCCCAGTCTGTGGACCAGTACCGGTCCGTGGCATGCCAGCAGCAGAATTCACACAAACAAGCAAAACCCCATCCATGGAATGCAGGCAGCACACAAAACCATGCACCCTCCAGTCCACGGAAAAACCTGTCTCCACGGAACCGGTCCCTGGTGCCCAAAAAGTTGGGGATCTCTGGGTTAGAAAGTTATAGCTTTAGTTTGGCAAGATTCTTCCCATTAGGTGAAAGCTAATAAGCAATTGGACTCGACTGGATCTCATAATTTCGTCTCTGGGCTTGGGCATGACATTAACTGTTATTAATTGACGGCTGCTTGTAAGAAGCCCAATCTCTGTGTTATTTTACTTGTTATTTATATGATTTATGTAGCTGCCCATCTCCCATGAGTGACCCAGTGGTTTAAATAGATTAAAATACGCACGCAAGCACCATTCCCCCCATATTGTAATAATGCTTTTATAAGCTTTTTAATATTGGTGTGTTATCCTGGGACTCATTGTGGAAATCTATATCCAAATATGTAAGGCAAGAAAAAGCTCTATGTTAACAAGCTTATACTGTAAAATAAATTATAGTTCATTTATTACCCTGGGTCTGGAATTCTGAAAAGGAACTGTTTATGAGAAGAATCCTTTAAAGATTAATAAAAAATCAAGAGGAACATAAGCAACAACTTCTTGTTAATAAACTGGCATTTTTGTTTGTCCATATGCCATGTTTTTGTAAAGGCTAAGTTTATGTAGTAATTTATTTCTAGATGCTACTATTAATATCCTATAAGTAACATACTTTTCATACCAAAACATACTTGGCGCCCAAAAATATTATTTGGAAAAGAAAAATATAGGTTCTGTAGCCCTCAGTACCAGCTTTGTTTACTTTTCACAGATCTTAAGGCTATTTTTGTAGTGTTAAAACTAAAACAATAGAAGATGCACATTTTCGTTGACAAATATAGAGGATACTCTGGTATCAATCAAAAACATGCTTTGCAGCTTATGGTATAAGTAAGCCCCATTGAATTTTATGAATGTTAACATTGATCTTAATTTTAACATCAGGTAGGTTGTGTAGAAGATACGTTTCATTGAAGTGAGTCGGGGATTTCTTTTGAGAAGGCAGGTTTTTTATGGTTGCAATATAAACTTTTGGTACGCAAATACATCTTTCAGAAATTATGTAAGTTGCAAATCATGTGTTTAAAAGGTAAGGATATACAGTGCAGGTCATTAACTTTACCTTTTATTTCATTCCACTATAGTGAGTAGTGTTAAATGCACTAAAGAAGTAAGCTTAAAGGAACAGATGTGTTGTGAGTTTCTCTAAAGGCTAAGAATTCTAGGACTTACATATTCAAATTTTTTTGTAGTGTTGAAATATAATTGTATTAAATAAAAATAGCAATTAATGTCATGAGTTCAGATAATGGTTGGATTGTTATCATTCTAGTGCATATTTTCCAAATCTTTGGTAATTATTCATGTATATTTTTTCTGACTGAACAACAACACACTAGAGGACAGGGGCCTGGTGTGCTATAATCCATGGAGTTTTGAAGACTTAGACACAATTTAGCGACTGAACAACAATTTTTGGGTACTTTGCATAAATAAATCTATGACTGAAAATGAGATACTTGTTTCCCTCCTCAGAAAAAGGTTGTAGTAAGTCATGATAACTTTGTGTATATCTTAATAAATAAATACATTTCCATAGCAAATAACATAAAATGTGTAACTTGCATCCATTGTCTCAAAATGCATATTTTGCATCATATTTTGCATTATGGAATGTCACTTGCCACTTGTTGCCCCCCTACATGGCTGCCTGTATTTCAAACAAAATGATGTGAGAAAGGAAATGGTATTGTGAAGGTGTTTATTGCCCAAATTTAATTGCCCTCCAGGGTCAGTTTCCCCAAGAGTTTTCCAGAAAATTTCAGTTTTCAGAGGCACTGAAAGCTAGTGTGAGCTTCTCCAGTACAGGAGATGGATAATCCACGGATGGGTTTTCTCTGTCTGCCTGCTCTTGAGACCAAGTAGCCAAAGCTTGACATGCCCCCACTTCCTGTGGAGTCCATTCTTAACTTGGTCTCTGCTCGAAGAAGACTCGTTTTGGCGTGGCTCTCAGCTTATCAGGTTAGACAAGAAATCCATTGATTGATTATCCCTTGATAATTGGCTTCCCCTTCCAAAAAAAATTTCCACCTATAGGAATTTAACCACAAAATTTTCTGGGGATCAGTCCTGATCTCAAACCTAAAATTAAAAAGGGGATTGGTGGGGAGGGAAATTTCCCCACAGATATCAGCCAGCCCCAGGGCTCTGGGGGGTGAAAAGGGGGGGAAGAAGGCATCAGCAGAGACTACTTGCTGAACCTTTTCCCCAACCACTAAGTTTTCCTTGGGATCATCCCTGATCCTATATTAAAATTGAAAAAGAGGGTGTGGGGGGGGAAACTCCCCACGGATCCCAGTCAGCCCCAGGGCTCTGGAGGTGGAAAAGGGGGGGGGGAAGGCATCAGCAGAGACCACTTGCTGAGCTTTTCTCCCCAACCTTCCAAGGGATTTTTTCCTCAAATTGGGGGAAAAAATAACAATCTCCAGGTCCGGATTCAAACTTGAATTCGGATCATCGGAGATTCCCTAGCAGCCCAGGGCAACCGCGGGCGCCATTTTAGTTGCCGTTTTCAGACAACAAAGGCAATCCCTGACTGGGATTCCCTTAAAACGTCACCAGCGCGCCAAATTTAAATCCCCGGGCACAAGCAGCTTCTGGGAGGCTGCGGAGCTTATTTTCAGAGGGAAACGAAGCACAGGAAGGGAGTAAGCCCCAACCAAGAAACGGAGGCTAGAGAACCCTCCTGGGACCCGCAAAGCCCTTTTTCAGGGAGAAACGAGCTGTGGCTGCCATCTCTTGCCAGAGAAAGGCAAACCGAGCTTAAGGAAGCTCTACATCATATCTGGAATCACTGATAGAGGCGGAATAGGAGCACACAACCAGCGCTCCACCCCCGATACACACATATAATAATAGGACAAAATATAATAATAATAAAAATAGATACATAAATTTTAATAATAATAATAATAATAATTAAAAAAATTTTTTTAAAGCTAAAAATTAAGCGACTGCAGGGCCAACAGGCCTAAAGACAGAACACACAATATTATCATCATCACCATTATTGTTGTTGTTGTTATTATTATTATTTTATTATTGTTGTTGTTCCTATTATTAGTATAATAGTAATAGTATTAATAAGAATAAATTCCGCTCTAGGTGACCGCCATTTGATACCTGCTGTGTATTAAGTCAGGCCTACAGACCCTTGAGGTCGCCACTGATATTTTTTGCCTCCCTTTTCCTTTTTCTACTGGTGCACGTTGCCTGGTCACCTAAGGCCTCCGGGCGGAACCCAAAGAGTGGTTCCAAACGTGCCTTCGGTACCTCCCTCAGCTACCGT